CCATTTTAATCTTATTGTTCTCCAAAGTCTTAATACGTGGAAAATGTCAACAAGCAATATTGTAAGAAAGACAGAGGCTGTGGAATTAAATATGTGAATTGAAACATAAAACGGGATCCCTACTTAAAATTAATTGATGGTACATGGAAAAGGTTTTATATTTAAGTTATTTAAGTTTTAAATGAATTTTTATGACATAACCTCCTTGCTTAGCCTCTCTACTTATAAAATTTAAGGTTGTTCTCCATTTTCCTTAAAATTTAAGGAAATTAATCGGCTTAATTTAATAAATCGTCTATTAACTATTATCCTTTTTTTCTTTTAGTCTAAATACTTTACTTTCTTTTAAACTCATCTATTAACTTTCAAAATTATTTCGTTCTCATCTACTCCACATAACACCATTAACCACATTGACGGAAGTTTATGTTTCAAATTGCGTGGTGCCATGTAAGCTATTGTGTGGTGTCACGTAAGCAAACTATTGACCTAAAAAATGAAAAGGAAAATTCTCGCTTCTTAAGGTTAAATGTTTTAATTTAAAAAAATAGTGATATAATGATAGTTTTTTGTACAATTTTTTTAATATAATTTTTATATAGTTTTAAATAAATAGATATACTCAATATTATGTATCTTAAATAAAAATTAATTATTTAAATAATACATAAAATTATATTAAAAATAATAATAATAATTTTTAAATTATTTTTATAAGAAATTAATTAATTACAATGTTAAAAATTAAAATCACTAACTAGACTTAACAGAATAATTTAAACTAAAAACAAAAAAAAAAAAACCATAAAGTTTTAACTAAACTAAACTTATTTTTTACTTTTGTTCAAAGTATTCAGACTCTGAACACAACTTAGTATAGGGTTTACTGCAAATCACAAAATTAAGTCTGCTATAGAGTATTTCAAGAATGGGATGGGTATTGAGACCACGCGACAGTGAGGATATGATGATGTACGGTAAGATTTGTTTTTTTTTTTTTGTTTTTTTTTTTATCTTAATTACACAATTGGAGACAATCATCTCTCATTCCTTATTCCACCTCACCCGCATGCCATGCGACTCGAATTCAAGACTTCTTACTTCTAACGGAAGGAAATAATCACTGAGTTATTTAACTCGTTGACAAATTTGTTACTAATTAAGTAGAAATTATAGATCTTCAAATTTTTGTTAATGTCATCAATTAAAGGTTTCTTCTTTAATTCCTTCTTGTCCACTTGTGCTCTTCTGTTGGTTTCTGTAAAAGGTGTGAATATTTGTTTTAGTCTGACACTTGTGTTGTTGCAATCTTCTGTTAGAAAGTAAGTGCATTTGAAAAGATTGCTTTCTTTATGCTTTTGTCTTGATAGAGTAATTGTAGCTGGTATGAAAATGTGCTTGTGGTCCTGAGATGTTTCCCTAGCTTAAATTTGTTTTGCAAAAGCAAGTGGTTAACTAACTTTATATGGTAGTTTTTAGTGCTTGGTAGTTTTTTGGGGATAAAATTTATAACTAGATGGATGGTGGCTTTATATGGCGGAAATTTTTGTTTAAATTGTTTTTGGATGTGTTGGACAAGTCTAAGTTCAGACTTATTATTGTAAATCATTTGATATGTGAATAACCAAGCTTTTGTTGCTTTTATTTCAATGATCATTTGCCTCAATTGCAAGATAATCTAAGCTAAGATAATCGATAACTTGATCTAACTATTTTATGTATTTGTTTTAGTATTATATTATTTTTATAAAAGTTTTTTAATATGTATTTTAAAAATACAAATTAAGAGTATATTTATTTTATTTT